ATATTCGAGTAGTGGTACTCGAATAGTGATAATCCAATAATGATATTTGAGTAGTGGTACTCAAATAATGATATTGTATTAGTGATATTCGAATAAGGATATTTGAGTAGTGATATTCGAATAAGGATATTTGAGTAGTGGTATTCGAATAGTGATAATCCAATAATGATATTTGAGTAGTGGTACTCGAACAATGATATTGTAATAATGATATTCGAATAAAGATATTCGAGTAGTGGTACTCGAATAGTGATAATCCAGTAATGATATTTGAGTAGTGGTACTCGAATAATGATATTGTATTAGTGATATTCGAATAAGGATATTCGAGTAGTGGTACTAGAATAGTGATAATCCAATAATGATATTGTAATAGTGATATTCGAATAAAGATATTCGAGTAGTGGTATTCGAATAGTGATAATCCAATAATGATATTTGAGTAGTGGTACTCGAATAATGATATTGTAATAGTGATATTCGAATAGTAATATTTGAATAAAGGTATTCGAGTAGTGGTATATATTCGATAGTGAGACATTCGACAATGTTCGACTTTACAAATAAATAGTTAATTTATTTTAGAAAACTACATGTATAATTTCCACGCCTCATATTAAAATTTGTAAAGTGTCACACACTTTTGAGTGGCAGTGTCCACATACATTTAATAAAATGTTTATTTCGTTACTAGCATTTCAGAAAAGGGCCCACCTTTCAAAATAACGTTTGAAAACTTCGCCCATTACTTTCGAATGTACCGTTTAATTGTTCTTATATTCAGATATCGTATGAATAGATATCGCGTCACGCAATTTAACTTTCATCGATACGCCTTATCTTGCTTACACTTCTCGCATTCGATCGCACGAAATACATATCATGCGCGCAAGTGTTTGTATTCATAGTCGGTACCGATGCACCTCCTTGCACGGTAATACGCTCTTTAAAATTTTCAATCAAGAGGTTATCGCAGGATCGTGTCGAATTGAAAGTAAAAGCAACGCAAATGTCAGGGTAGTAATAGTGATAGTTTGTAATAGTGATACTTAAAAAACGATGTTCGTGCCGCAATTTTTGGACAACACTATTCTGATAGTAATCTTCAAAAAGTGATTTTCAAATAATGGTGTTTGAAAATGACATAATCGGTACAAAAATAATTTTGTTTTTTGAATCGTTCAAATTTACTGTTTCGTATCATAAAATAAATTTCTATAAAGAAAAAAGTCCTCCTTTTCGAAGTCGGTTAAAAATGATTGTATAATGTATCCTTCGAGATCATAGAACTCACCCACTTTTTATTAACAAATTCTACGTGTTTTTAATCAATGTAAGTTTTTTTCCAAGCTGTATTGTTACATTGCAAAGTTAACAGCTACAAAAAGAAATCTCTACATATTTCAGTATTCAATTCTTTCGCAGTATAAATATAACTAAAATAGTATCTCTTATGGTGAGTCATAATTAGTCTGTCTCATCTTGAATCGTACATGCAAGTATGAAAATAAAATAGTTTGCTTGTTCCCATTAAATAATATTTTATTTAAGTAAATTCTTTGTTGCAACAATATTGTCAAAGTAGCGCTTAAGATTTGTTCATATAGTAAGTAATAAATTATTTGTTTCATTTTATATTGTGTAAAAGACTAACCGAAACAGTCTTAAAATCAACCTGCAAGAATTTTCATACAAATAAACACGTCAACAACAACCGAAAAACGTTTTGAACTAAAGTTACCAACCCAATTCTGATATAGTTTCTATTCTTTGATATCCTGTCCAATTAATTCCACTCACCTTCCGGACTGCAGAACAACTGATGAGCATTCCCGATGATAGGAAGCGCAGGAGGATAAGGCACATCTCTCAACTTGTACAAAAACCTCCCTCGTCGCACGATCATCACCAGAACGATCGCCATCAGGCACATCGACAAAGTCAACGTAACCCAAGATCCTCCCATGACGAGCATCGCGGCGGTCATTCTGAATTCTCCACCGAGCCCGAAAACCTTTAAATTTCATTTAACGTGTTCACGTTTGTCGCATATTTATCACCACTTTATTTTAGCAACAGCGCTCCTCGCGAACGTCATTCTAAATATTATATAGAATCGCACGGACAACGGATATTTCGTTAACTATATATCATTCGATCGTGGTTAGCTGGTTACCAATGCTATCAATTTCAAAGCGAACCACTTCCTTGGAAAACGGAAAAAAGGAACTGCTGTGGAACAATAAACGTACTATTTATACTATTCACGTTATTATTGTCCACTTGGATTACACGATAACGTTCAAATAGTTCT